TTTATTTATTTATTTGACAGAGAGAGACACAGCGAGAGAGGGAACACAAGCAGGGGGAGTGGGAGAGGGAGAAGCAGGCTTCCCGTGGAGCAGGGAGCCCGATGCAGGGCTCGAACCCAGGACCCTGGGATCATGACCTGAGCCGAAGGCAGACGCTTAACGACTGAGCCACCCAGGCGTCCCAGTGCTCCATTTGAGAAGGAATATTAATGTCAATTATCAGATGGCTTACAGAATCATAATGTAATGATCTTCTTCACATTAAAAGGTAATTTAGAAATGTGTCAAAAAATTATACAAACCTAATCCTATTGCAAAACATAAATAACTCTTTTAACAATATTCCTATTTTCGTTTTACTTCTTTGGGTCCTTTTGCTCTCTGTCCTACGATGATCCACTTGCTTTTGCCTGCCCCTAAATGCACTCGTTTCTCAAAACTCTATCGGCTGTGAAGTTCTCTTCCCTTGCTATACTGCCTTTTTAACACATCTGCTTCTTGATGCCTATTGAATATACGTTCTTCCCTTCTTTACTAAGAGAATCCTAATTTTGTTTAAATCAGCAATGTGCTACCTAAAAATATCTGTCTTTCCATACCCTTTTGCTGCTGAGGTGGCCACAGGACACCATTCTGGCCACTGAGTAAATAGAAATCAGCCAGGGATTTGGGAAACCTTTGTTCTCCTGATACAGGTACTGCTAGTTCCTCCTTTTCTTTCTCCTTCTTCCTGTCTGGAATGTGGATGTGAGATTAGGGGTAGAGCAACCATCTTGCAACCATGAGATCAGAAGTATGAAGACAAAGATCTATTTGGTAATGATATGCAGGGGAGAGATGGAAAGACCCTTCTCTAAGACTTAATTGAGACCCTTTTAAGACTCTGGGTTGCTTACCTCCAGGCCTCTTGTTTCCTGAGACAAATAAATCTCTGTATGTTTAAGCCACTACTAGTTTTCTGTGCTTATTGCTGAAAATAATCCTAACCTAGCCCCCTTATACTTTATTTATTATCTAAGGACAGAAACATTTGATTCACTCCTGTTGTATCTTCAAGCTGTATTTATTCCTATTGCTTATCTTGGATTTCCTTTCAGGGTGCTGTTTGAAAGTGTACAGAAGTGAAGGGAATATTTTATATCATTTGCAGAGTCAAACAAATCACTTTTATTTCAAAGGAATTCAATGATTTATTGTGGCATTTCTCACTGTGATTTATCTGCAACATTTTGCTGTAGGAATGATGTGATTTATAATTTGGGGACCTTGCTGATAGTTTGATTTCCTTATGCCATTCCTGACCACAACTGATGTCAGTTCATGTTGCAAATCTAAGCCATATTTATCTTTTTGTGAATTTACTTCGTGAGAGGGCATGACATATTTTGTTAGACACAGATTTCAATTTGCTACCCTTTCTATATTGAGGTTGCTTAGCAGTGAGCAAGAAGTAGGCTGCTACGCAGACTAACTTATCACCTGTATGTATCCATATGTATGTCCACATCTGGATCTATATCTGCATGTCTATCTTTATGTCTAGATCTGATTAAGATGTTAAATAGTTGTATTTGATATATAGTGTTTATGTTATATAAACATAAATATAACTGTTTCCAAGCAATGGCTTTGTTTTCCTCCCAACAGTCATGGATTCTATTTAATAGTTTAATGTAGCCAATTTCTAAGTCTGAATATATATATATATATATATATATATATATATATATATATATATATAAAATTTGTTTGGAACTAGAAAAGACCCCAGATAGCCAAGGGAATGTTGAAAATGAAACCAAAACTGGTGGCATGACAATTCCAGACTTCCAGCTCTATTACAAAGCTGTCATCATCAAGACAGTATGGTACTGGCACAAAAAGAGACACGTAGATCAATGGAGCAGAATAGAAAACCCAGAAATGGATCCTCAATTCTGTGGTCAACTAATCTTTGACAAAGCGGGAAAGAATAGCTGATGGAAAAAAAACAGTCTCTTCAACAAATGGTGTTGGGAAAATTGGACATCCACATGCAGAAGAATGAAACTGGACCATTTCCTTGTGCCATACACAGAAATAGACTGAAAATGGATGAAAGACCTAAATGTGAGACAGGAATCCATCAAAATCCTTGAGGAGAACACAGGCAGCAACCTCTGTGCCCTTGGCCACAGGAACTTTTGCTAGATACTGCTCCAAATGCAAGGGAAACAAAGCAAAAATGAACTATTGGGACTCAAGATAAAAAGCTTTTGCACAGCAAAAGAAACGGTTGACAAAACCAAAAGAAAACCGACAGAATGGGAGAAGATATTTGCAAATGTCGTATCAGATAACGGGTTAGTATCCAAGATCTATAAAGGGCTTCTCAAACTCAACACCCAAAGAACAAATAATCCAGTGAAGGAATGGGCAGAAGACATGAACAGACATTTCTCCCAAGAAGACATCCAAATGGCCAACAGACACATGAAAAAATGCTCCACATCACTCAGCATCAGGGAAATAGAAATCAAGACCACAATGAGATACCATCTTACGCCAGTCAGAATGGCTAAAATTAGCAAGTCAGGAAAGAACAGATGTTGGTGAGGATGTGGAGAAAAGGGCACTCTGCTACACTGTTGGTGGGAATGCAAGCTGGTGCAGCCACTCTGGACGACAGTATGGAGGTTCTTCAAAAAGTTGAAAATAGAGCTACCCTAGGACCTAGCAATTGCACTACTGGGTATTTACCCCAAAGATACAAATGTAATGAACAAAGCAAAGCCAATTAACACAACATGGGAGATGGTGGTGGTGTGGAGCAGCCACCTAGGGCTATGAGAGGAACCAAGCACAGTTTGGTGAGAAAGGACAGAGAGACAGCCAAGTACTTACATGGTAGGACAGAAGGACACATTGGAAGATGTGAAGGAAGATAACCAGAGAGATAGTTGGCCTTACTTAGGCCACCTAGTGTGCAGTCTATTGCTGAGGATGTGTATTGGGAGGAGGTACACGGAAGAAGGAGTCGTGGGCTCTGACAATCACAACTGCTAGTCTAAAATGGAGACAGAGTATAGTGAGGGATGGGACCACTGGATGGATTTCTAGATTCTCTGCTTACAAGGAAAGGAAATATTTAGGGGAAAAAAAGCTGTTTAGTCAAGATTCTTGGAAAAAGTAGGTGTGGATCAGTGCTCATTTTAGACAAAGGCTATTCTACGTCATAGCTGTAGTTTGGAAAATCAAGTGGACAGCCAGATGGATTTCCTTCTACTGCTTTCTCCTGAGGACTTTTTTTTTTTTTTTTCTTTTTAAGAGAGAGAGTGCACAGGGAAGCGGAGAAAGGGGAAGTGGCTGGGGGGCGGGGTGGGGGAGAGAGAGGATCTTAAGCAGTCTCTATGCCCAGGTGGTGCCTGACACAGGGCTCCATCCCATGACCCTGAGAACGTGACCTTAGCCCAAACCAAGAGTTAGATGCTTAACCAACTGAGCCACCCAGGCAACCATCTCCTGAGGACTTTTCTTAGGTGTTCTGTGTTGATAGGATTCAGGGTTGAGTAAAGGAGAGTAGAGAATTGTATGGGGAAGTAGAAAAATCGATTTTCACTGTTGACATCAATGTATCATATCACTTTCTAATCCCTTAATTGCACGCCCTTCTGGCTTTCCCAGGTCTCTTTCTGATTCCTGTTCAGAAATTCTCATTCTGATTTCTTCCTGGTAGCCCATCTAGTTTCTGAAGACCTCTAGAAGCAGAAGCTCAGGCTTTTCTGATTTGTCAAATTGACCATCTTGTTTTGTTGTGATAGGAATGTTAAGAATTTCGAAAGCTAGAATCTGACTGAAACTGAACCTGTCAATGTGCCAAATCATGAATGAGGAAGGTTGCATTTAACTCTGTCTTCTCCGCAGTTATCCCAGAGGGACTAAGAAAAGGCACCTGTTCACAACCATCCCAGGATGATACTAGATAATATGGAGTCTCTACAACCTCTAGTGAAACGCTGGTTATCTGCTTGTTTACCCAAATAATGGTGTAATTTTACTAGTGTAGGGTGT